ACGATGATATGTGCCAGGCTTTCTCGGAGGTGGCAGACCTTGCAGCAAATGATGATGGATGGACACGTAATATAATGTTGTGGATAAAATCGCAAGTACAAGAGTTGAGGATGATAAAGTCAAGCGTTGCAAGTGCTGTCCACGCACAGCATGATCATAGCAGTGGAAACATTTTAGACCCAATATCGTCGAAGAGAAAGGGCGCACCAAAGAAACTTCGGAGGAAAGGCCCCTTAGAGTCCAGTTCGAAGAGAGTAAAGGTATGTTTTATTGTTTGCATCTTTGTTGATTGATTATTTGAAACAAATAATCATTTTGCTTGTTGAACATGCAGGCCACTGCATCGTCGAGCAAAGGAAAGAGGCCTAGAGCTAGGCATAGTAATATAGAAGATGGATCAATGGATGTGCAGGCATCTCAACTACCTCAGTGTTCTATGCTAACACCATTACAATATGTCGTCTGCCCAGCGCCTACAAATGCTGCATGTAAAGTGGTTGACAATAGCATATTGGCACAGACTTCTGATCACTATTAGTAGGAAGTTAAGCTTGTCATTTTTTGTGATGGAACTCCGGTGTTATGCGTGTTAGGTTGGCTTTTTTTGTAACTTAATTAATCAGTATACATCATCCGTGGTTCCATAATGCATTTTTGTTCTCTGATGTTTATAGTTTGAATATGCTATTTTCGTAAACTTATTTTTGTGTTGCTTCTCGACCACCATTCTTTAGTACTATAACATGAACAACATTACAGAAAACAACACCAGTCCAAATCTGAACACATGCATATATATTACAAGATAAATTTACAAGATAGAGCTTAATTCCAAAAACTTATAACATTCCATGTTATATAAAATCACAACCAGAATTTTAGTACACTAAAATCACCATTTCAATCTGACCCCTTTCCTTTCTTGTCGCATTTAGCAAATCCTTTTCCCTTACTAAAAGTTATGTGCAACAATATGTCAACCCCTCGTTTGAAGCGAAACTGGATTCCCCGCTTGAAGCTTCATCTTTAAGCCGTCAAAGTATCCACAGTCATCCCTATAGCGTTTTGATTGGCATTGATCGAAGTAGTGTTGTCACTCCAAAATTTCATACTCTCATTCTAGTTAATGTCTGCAAATGAAACAGTTCAAGTCAATAGTTCAATTATTCATAATACACACAGTGTAATAGCAAATTTTTGGAAGAAAACTGTTAACCCCTTCATAAGTCAAATTGCTACCTTTGGAAAAAAAAAATAGAATCTAGCTAGCTCATTGCTTATCCATTGAAATTCCTGAGGGGAAAATACTTACCATCTCCAGAGTTAACACATTTATTGTAGTTACTACTATTCAAGATCTCCATTTTTCACCCATCCATAACTTCAACAAACTTTGAATCATCAAATTCCAGACAGCTGAAATTCAATAATACGATTCACTCAATTAAAAAAAAATCCTCAAAGGGTTTCTGACCAGAAATTCATACACAAACAACATCTCCAGAATGACTCAAATAATGCCTCTAATTCCAAATGACATAGCCAATAGTAGCATCCATACACCCGTAAAAACCAACACAGATTGTCGAAAATGTGCACAAATATAGATATGCCCAACAACATCAATACAACCATATAAACCAAATATCGTGCTTACCAAACGTTCGCTGCATATTTTGCCGGAGAAGAAGGAGATCGCGGGTACTTGCACATATGTCAAACGACGAACCAAATAGCAAATACTAACTGCATATATTACTAACTACGTTCTTCACTGCTTCGCCACCGACCTCAGGTGCAGGTTAGTGCGACGATCGGTTTAGATTTGGGTGGGATTCGGCCTCGATGGTTCAATGGCGAAGCTAGGGCAAAATGAGTCTTCTGGGATTTCCTTCAGTTTTAAAATATCGAAGGTCCTTTTTTTATTTGTTGAGGACCTGAGGTATTAATATTATTATTGGAATGAATTCAACTGTGGGACCTTTCCTTTAAAAATTGCCTGCCACATCATCGTTTTCAAATTTCTGTAATTTCTCGGTAAATCATTTCCTGTACCTATAGCGGGACCGATATCTTTAACGTGAGATACCTTTTTCCTCCTCAAAATCATTCAAAGCCTCCCATAATTTCTCGTAATTTTTCTCCCTAGAAGATTGATGTAGAATGACATGAAGTTTCCCTCTAGATTTTTTATTGTGTGGTATAAAATTCCAAGGGCGGTCTCGTCCTCCCCAAATTTACATTCTCATACACTTTGGTCCCTCAACTTTCGAGTATGTTGATTAAAGTACAGATTGGGCACCCAACTACCAAACTCATCCGGTATATTACTTCAACTTTTGACATCTTCAAATTTGATCCTCCCAAGTTTCAAGAATATTCAAATTGGTCCCCAAACTATCCAAACGTGGAATTTAATCTGCAAAACTTGTAAAATTCTTCTAATGCACTGGATAGCGAGGGAAACACACAACATAGCTTCAAGGGAACGAGTTACAAAGAAACAGCACTAATAATATTCTGCTGACCAGATAAAGAAGCTTTCACAGTTGATTTTCTGAGAAAACACTTTAGCATTAGCATAAATTAACAAATATTGCTCTAAGATTAACAAAAACATTCAAAAATTTCCCCCACATACTTTGAAAACAAACAAATTACAAATGCTGAAAGTAGATAAAACATGTACAAAGCCAATGACAAAACTTTTTTCCTTCAAACTCATTTTGAACCCCAAGTTCTTACAATAAAATATTTTGCACATAAATCCTAAAAATTAATTTCTACCTTTTAATCACACATTCTCCGAGAAATCATTATTCCAAAATTATTTCCCCCCAAAACACAGAAAAACTCATTTTAATGACAGTCAGTCAATCAACAAGTCCCAAGGGACAAATTTGAATGAAATATGAGTAGAGTAATGCCGCCCTTCCCAATAGTCAAAACAGAGAGTGGCTGCCTGAATTTCTGCACATATTTGAAATAAATTTGGGGTCCAATACAATGCTACACGTACAGAATTTTAACTTGCCAAACGACTCAACAAATAGGTGGGTAGAGTGAGATTTTTGTGAATATATTAATCAAGTGGGGTCACCCCCACAACATTTGAATTCCTGTAATTTTTTGTCTGTAATTCAAATGTTGTCTTACATAGAGGTGGCCCACATCATTAAAATCCTGTACGTGTAGCATTGTGCTCTCTGCTAATATTTTCCAAAAATTATAATTTTCACATAATACTCTGCCAATGAACAATCAAATAGTTAGCTAAAACAGAGAAATTAAAGTATAAAATTATTATTAGAAGGTGACTCAGTTTATGGTTGGTCGGCAAGGTGAACAGAGCACCATTACGACGAACGAGACCAATATCAGTTTAATCCTCATCGCCCCCAACAATCTAAATTAATTAACTGAACATCAGAAATCCAGTATCAAATCAAAGAAAATTATTGAATTGATTAAGGAATCATCAGATAGGAGCGAAAGACTATAAAATATTTATAATCACATAAAATCATCTGAACTATGCTTCTAATCATCACATGATCCCCATTTTCATTCAACTTTTATTCACAGAAGATAAAAATTATTTTCGAAAAAATAAAATTCTGCTTGGAAGAGAGCCATTTCAATCAAACAAACAAAAACAAAATTTTGAAATCGATTTAAAACGGAAAAACCAACCAATCAAGCAATAAGAACAGATCTAATAATCAAGCTTACATGGCCTCATAGAGAAGATTAGATTGATCCACATATTGTGTTTCGGACATATGCTTGTCTAAATAAAAAAGTATAATCATCGGCCAATACTTGAAAATAAAATTCAAAAAATTCACAAACTCATATTCGTTGCTGCTTGCTCGGATCGAATTGTGAAAGTGTGTAGATCTATTGAGTCCTAGCAAGGGTTGAGATTTTAGTTAAAAGAAAGAAATGTCTCGTATTTATGGAAAAAAAAAACTAGGGTTTGCTTTTTCAGAATGATGGCGGCGAATAGTTTAACCAGGAACTCGATGGTGTCAGCATTGTTACCCAGCCCGAAATAAATAGTCCGAATTTTGACCCGAACCCTTTTTCAAAAGATGTTAATCCGACAGACCCATGACCCGTCAAATATGGTTCAGGCCAGGCTGGTAGCCTGGTCCTGTTTGGTCTCCCATATGTCGATTATTATTTTTTCCGTCCCACAAAGACAGACATGCCTTTTATTATTATTTGTCCTAAATTATACCCATACTCAATATGTCTTGTGATCAACAAATATGAACTACTCTTATTTAAATAATTATTCAATGTAAGGGTATATTACAAAAAAAAAAAATGGTAAGTAGAATTTATTGTTCCAACTATATTAAATATATATTTTTAATCTGTATGAAAATGGAAGCAATCATATCGTTATGAGGTAGAGACGGTATTTTTCTATCTGAAGGAAAAAGCTGAAAAAAAAAATAGAGATGGACTTAAAACTAATGTTAACGTAATTATATTAGAAAGTTCACACGAGTAAAAAATAATAATGTTTACAAAAGTTTCTCTCTAATACAACATTTTTATAGCTCTAGCGGATGTGACAAAAAAAGTAGACATTGTAAAAAGATCCGTTTGAATGTAGAGGATCTTTTAGACAGAGAATTGGCAAAAAAATAATATTTCTTACCGCTTCAATATCGTTATGTAATGTTGGTAAAGAGGATTAGTTTGCACTCCACAATTTTAAGAAATATAAAGAAGTTAAGCAAAAGTATATGAAAGTTGTTCTTAAAACTGATCATCTCTAATAATCGAAATATTTTGTGCTTACAACAAATGTACAACTCCTTGGATGAATGATGCATTGAAATGTCAACCAAGCAATCAGCAACTCATTGTAGTAACCCCAGATTCTGTTATATTACTTACAGGAAAAAAAAAAAAAAAAGTAAATTCCGANAAAAAAAAAAAAAAAGGTAAATTCCGATAATCGAAACCTGTATTTGTGGAAATTACTAGTACGCGAAATCTGCGAGAGTATCCTCAACTATTTCACTTAAAACTAGCTTCTCTATGTCAGCCACAACTTCTTCGACTCCTTCTGAATTATAACCCGTCCGCCAACCCACATCCCACGCTCCTATCAGATCTCTCTTGCTCCATAGATCCCTTTCCAGCATCGAGTAAATAACATTGACAACATTGATCTCACTGGAAAGCTTGTTATATCTCCTCAAATCCTTGATCCCGTCACATATTTCTCGCACCAAGTGGTCAAGAGATAAGCAACATCTTGACCTAGTTTGAGATAGTGGACAAGTTGTTATCCTCCACTGTAGGCTTTTACGCTCCAACATATCATTTGCACAGTCGAGGAAAAGTTTGGTATCAAGTAGTTCATAACCACATAACAATGTTGCTGGACAGGATGTTGGTTCACATGTCCAAGTATCAAAGAGTTCCTCCACATGGCGGAGGAATGATGCATTATTCAGAAGTAAACTTCTTGTATTGGTTTCTGTTTTGCACCTTTCATTCTCTGGTAAATTATTACTTGGCACGCAATTTCCTTCGTCAATGGATGTGATATCCTCGATGATTGGCATAGAAACCTCAAGAGGACTTGAAGTGCTTGAGCACTTATCTGCAATCAAAAAGTAACTTATAAACATTTTCATTAAGGTGGATTGAACACCGCATTCAGGAAGAAAATGAAGTATATTCTGAAAACCAAACATGCCTTAAATGTTTATATAACTGTATATAGATGGAGAATAGCATCATTCCGGTTAATTTTTGAATGTGTAAACTAACATAATTTGCTTTTACATCTTCCATATAGTGATCTGAAAAGTTATGGACGCCGAATTGTGGCAATCATTTAGGTTTTTATTCTCTATACTTTAAGAAAAGTAAAAGTTTTTGCCTTCATAAGCAGAATAATTTTTTTTTTTTTGTCTCCCTATGTTGCACAATTTTAAATGTCATGGTTCAATGCACACGTACACATTGAACTCACTACTCATAAAAATGCGAATATTTTAAGGTTGTGATGATTTTATGCAAGCAGTGCCTTAATATTATTTCTACTCATAGTTGCCTAAAAGAAGCGCGTTGCTGGATTGAAGTTTCTTACCAAACATAGAATTACCAGAAGCATTTGCCATTTCCTCAGGAATTTTCTCTGATGGCATTAATGTCTTATCTATTTCAGTTTTACCAGCAAACTCAATCGGCATTATAGTTTCAACCTGCATTGGAATATTAAATTAGTATAACCAAGAAAAATGACTAACTTCAGAATTGAACAATCCTCAAACAAACTAGATAGCCTGAAGACTTCTGGTAGAATAATAAAAAGGGGTCCTTTATTCTTAAACAAAAAAAATGGTATGGAGACTTACAATAGCTAGCGAGGGCTTGCTATCCGGCTTATCATTTTTCAAGTTCTTCTTCTGACTACTGGAGTTCATTGATGCAGTTCGTCTCGTGAATTTATCTGAGGTGGTTGCATTTTCACGTGCACCCTGATTCTTCGAGACATTAGATATCTTGTCCGGTTTTCCGAGCTTCAAAGTAGTTGTGTTTCCCAAAACACGAGTTTTGGAAGATCCTTGAGATTTCAATGTTTTTATTTCTGCTGGTTGCTGGGTATCAGGAGACACTTTTGGTACCTTGTCAATCTTTGTAAGAGCTGATTCTTTTTTCTGCAACATAGGACTGACCAGTCTCGGAATCTTTATCTTGGTACAAGACAGGTTTTCTTGAACATCTTTACATTTATCATCTAGTTTTACTGATACTTCTCCACGAATATTTGTGTCTTTGTCATTAAGGTGTTTTTTTTGCCTTGGAATTCTTCCAGCTGGCATTTTCCTGTGTAGCTCAGTGGGTTTCAGAGGTCCTTTCAGATGTTCAGCTGCATTAAGTGGAAACTCTTCTTTCCATTTCCTAGGCATTTGATTACTCTTGTAATCTTTTTCTTCATGGACATAGTAATTTTTGTGAAGCTCGGGAGTGTGTAGAGGCCTTATAATCACAATGGGTGACCCCGTGTCACGAAAACCTTTCCTTGAGTAAGAGACATTAGAATGTTTTTCTCCATCGATGGACTTTCTTTCCAGAAGTCCTTTAAACTGCATAGACTTTATGAGTTCTTCCAATGTTCTTCGATCTTGAACTACTTTCTGAGATGCAAACTGAGGCTTCCTCACCCTTGGCAAATCCATATCAAATAAATATCTTCTCTGATTCAAGAATTCATTTTTTTCAACATGTTTTTGGGAGATCGAAGGAAAAGGTTCTGAGGGAACTTCCTCCAGTCCCATAAGCTTGGCAATTAGATTTGATTGCTTCGGCTTCTCTTGTCGAACCTTTAAAGGAGAACTGTCAGACGAGGCAAAGTCATGGGAGAAAACCTGTGAGGATTGACTTGAACTGGTGGACGGGAACTCCATATAGAAATCTGATTTTCTTCCTTCACAATAATCTCTCTCTCGAGTGGAAGCACTTTTTGGCAACAGATTTTGCCGGGTAAAACTTTCTCTTATGACTTCCCTGAGCTCCTCATAACAATCCCCGGTCGGTCCATCAGCAGAAGTTCTCGGCTTCTGGAAGTCCATTGCATGATAGCAATCTCCAATTCGAATGGAATTGGTAAATTCCGTACCCGTGGCTACTTCTTTCTCTTCCATGACCTTTTCCTTCTGCTTTCTATTCAACTTAGACATGTAACGTGAAGCTTCTTGTAACTTCCCGAGCATTGCTATAGACTCCTGTAGATCAAGAGCGCCTTTTAACAAGTCTTGCGCGATTTTCTTTGATTGCTTATCAAAGCTTACACCGTCTGACCACAAGTCAACCACCTCATTCAATTTCTGTGCTCCTCTAGATACCTCCATGATCTGAAAGGAAGACAGGTTTTGTAACTCCTCTGTGGACCCTTTTGAGACTTTGTCCTTCCTTTTTTCATGGTCCGATGAAGACAGATTCAATTTTTTTCGACGCCCTTCATTTTTAATAGTATTCTCCACTTTCTGAGAATCAGTCTTGGATTTTATAATTGACTTACATTCAACAACACCTTTGGGATCATCACAAGTGACAAATGATCTGTACATAACCGACCTTAGCCTGTCTTGAGGCATATTCTATGATGATCAAGACTTCCGAAACGAGCTAAAAACAGGAAAACCCAGCTCTTGCTTAGCTATGATTCACTGGAAAAAAATATAAGCAAATCACAAATTAGTTGCCGGCTTTCGAAAAGGATAGATTTTAAAAATCAATACATAATTCTCCAGTTTGACATTTTCAAACTATCTCTGTTAAGAATGGACTTAATTCTCATTAACCCACCTAATAATATGAGAGAGACCTACAGATCTACCACAACAACAAAAACTTAAGCTTTATTTATAATAAATATGGGTCGACTATATGAATTCCTTTTTTGCTGTGCAAACTTATTGAGAAGCAGATTTCAATATCTAAATTCAAAATACTTGCACGGTTTTTTACCTGTAAAAGCTTCTCATATCAACCAAATGCACTCTCTTTTAGCTTCTGTAGGAAACCAAAAACATGAATCAAAGATACCCAATAAGGGAAAAAACATGAAAACACAAAGCCCATACGAGAATTTTGAAATCTTGAAGAAACCCATAAGAGAGAGAATTAATTTCACAGACAAAAATGTCGGTTAACAGTTACCTGCATTGAGTTCTTGGCTTTGATGAGAAATCTGAGATCCACGCAAGAATAACAATATTACAAATGGCCACTGTAAATATCTTTATCACAGATTCAAACAAAATCCATATACAAATTCAAAAAAAGTTCAATTTTGTTCTGTCTCTGTAATTCTCTTAGTTAAATACTTTCATCGAGTTAAGTAATAGAAATGGGTGAGTCAATGATTGCAGTTTGTGGGGGTGATTCAATTATGCTTGTCGTGTTTTCATTAGAGTTAATTAATTGGAAGATTTACGAGGGGAGGTGGGATGATGATTAAGAAAGTCTGTGGGAGTTATGAGGGGAAACTACCGTGAAGATGTCCATGAATAATTTAATGCTACTTTGTGCGGTTTGTTGGCTTGGAATATAATATTAGCAATTTAAATTTTATTTTCTATTTCTCTCTCTTTTTTCAGAAAATGTAGTATTTTGAACTTTATCTTATGTTTGGTCCATTTTTTCAAAAATTCATTTAAAAAAAAAAAATCTTTTTCAACCCCACATTCTCTTATAAAATAATATTATACGTAAATAAAAAAAATTTCTTATTTTTTAATCACACCATCTCCGACAAAACACTATTTAAAATACATTTTTCTCCAAAAATGAAGCTCAAACAAGGTCTAATCTTGCATATTATTGCAAGAGTAGTCTTAAATTCGGACAAGTTATGGTTATAATGATACGTACAATGTATATAAAACACTAATCTTGGGACATAAACAGACTTGGCTCGACAGATTATTCTTTTTCCTTTTGGATATGCAAGGGCACAAACTAGATTTAGGAAGGAGAGACAAGTTGCAAACTATCAAAGATGGAGATGCGTGGTGGCAAGGTATCACATGGGCGAATTCTTGGTAAAATACTTACCCAAATTTTCTATAACAGTACTAATAATCCACTTAGCCGGTCCACAAATTTGCATAATGCAAATAAAGATAAAAACAATAATGTAAAGGAACACAGAATTTACGGGTAAATACCCAACTTGTTTATTACTTTACAATAATATAAAAACACGAAGGAATGCTGAGGAACACTACAACTATCTTTGTCTCATCAATCCAAACCTTCAAATATATAAAATCAAAATTCGTGTGTAGTTAACATCCTTAACTGCCAGGGATAAACCAAACCATTAGGACTAAAACTAATAAAAAATTGCTTCCCACAACATTTCTCAACAATTGACCATACTTTCCACCTATATAGACCACGAAAACTGCCCAACACATATGTCAAACATGCGCTTGATTTGAACACCCGAATTTGTAGACTAGAGCATGCTAACAGCAAGCTGGATCCGTTTACCCCTTGCCAATTTCTGTCAATTCGCAACACTTTGACACCTGCTAAATTGAAGCATCACGCCCACAAATTGAAACCCACATTTTCCTTACTCCAAAATCCAAAGTGTGCACCATCAACACACATGTCCACAAAATTCTAGCATGAGGGCAAAACGTGCTCATACCATTGCGCATGCCAACCTTTAAGAGGCTAATAGGAATTTCGTTGCATAGATGGAGTGTCATTGATTTTGATTTTTTTCTACTTTTTCTTAAAAATATCTATGAAAATTTAATCAAGTACGAGAGTTCAAGTTTATTTAAAATAACTTAAATAGAGATAAAAATGCCTTTGATAATACGAATATGTACTAAGTTTCGAATATATGTGAATATTACTTTAAAGCTTGATATAGAATCGCTTAAAAGAAATTAAGAAGGAATGTATATTATGAAGGCCGAAAAGGCCGTATCTAACACTCGCAGTAAATTTCTTAATGATGAAGTTTCTACTAAAAAGAGTTTGGAACTTCATAAGCATAATTAAATCTCCATCTTCTCTAGTTTGAGGAACCTCTTGTGCTTCTCATCAAAAGATTTTAATGTAAAGTTCAAACTTTACATAGATTAAGGTTGTACTTTTGCGTGTTTCGAAATTTTTCTTTACATCTCCCTATATTTTGATGTTCGAAAAGTCGACTTATTACATGATAGAACTCGAATAAATCAGGAATGATAAAAGGTAATCTATTTTATTGTTTACTAAAATAAAAAGTGAAAAAATAGTGTAAAGTCTAAACTTAAATACTTCATCACGAACACTAAAATATTCATCTACAAAAAACGTTCTAATTTTGTAGAATCCTCGGAGATCTTGTGCTTCATAATGAATTTTTTTTCAAGTGATACAGATGTGAAACTTCTCTTTCGTACCTAAAAATGTTACATTAATAGTTAACCGTCTTTTTTTTTTTTTTTCAGATTTTTAGTAACGTTTGATAAAAGTTGACAAAATGTGTGGTTGAAAAGTTGTGAATTTTATAAAATAAAATATGTAGTTAAAATTAATAGTTAACCGTGACTTAAATTACCGAACTGGGCTTAACTTCATAAACATACTCTAACGATAAAATGGTATATTTTGAAAATATCAAGGTTAAATTTGTCAAATTATTGAATAATATATGCCAACTACCCAAATGACAAGATTTTAATGCAGTCACAGAAGTCTCGTTGATTTTGGTGTCTTTCATATGGTTGTACTTTTTCACTATTTGCTTTTTGCACAAAAATAAATGAATATCTTATAGGCCAAAAATAAATGAGCCATGTCCCAGTTTGAAATATGACTCGGAATTTAATTTCAAATCTATAGGCCAAACAGCTCCTTGTACTATTTATGTGCAAACCTAAATAACAATATACAAATTAAGAAACAATTCTTTAGTTGTTGTCTTCACCTTTTAAATGGAATATTTTGTAGCACGTTTGGTAAGGTGTTGTTTGGACAATAGTAGAAAAGGGGAAAAAATTTATTTAATAATGTACATATTCGACTAGATAGGATAATAAACATACATTTCGGGTTTAAAATGTTGAAGGCTACCCAATTTTCCAAGAAACTCCTTTTTAGTCTCTAAAGTTCTTTTTTATTTTATTTTTTTCTTACCATTTACGCGTTGTGTAAAATAATTGATTATGTGGCTAACATACTGCTTATCGACGACATCAGCTGTTGTTAATTGCAGAAAATCTGTCCAAATTGCAAAATTGTCTTCTACTCCACGTTTGGAAATTTTTTTTACCATTTACGTGTTTTGTAAAATAATTGATTATGTGGATAACATACTGCTTATCAAGGACATTAGCCGTTGTTAAATGCAGAAAATCTGACCAAATTGCAAAATTGTCTTCTACTCCACGTTTTTATAATTTGAAGTCAAAATCAAACATAATTTTTAACCACGCATTCACAACAACTACCTACTTATTAACTACACATTTCATGGATCTCTTTACTTATTTTCATTATAATCTCATTATAATTTCTTCCAAACAAGTATAATTGGGAATTCCACTGTTCAGCTAAATCCAATTTCCTTCAAAAGAAGTTATAGAGAGAAGCCAAAATTTCCAAGAGCCAATACCACATGTTCACATTGCATCAGATGCTGGAGCATGCATTGCTTCTATATACATACAAATAGGCCCATCTCCTTTTCTTATAGGAGTCTACAAATGCTTAATTTGTGCTATCTAGAGCTATTAGAAGGTCAAATACCATACCTAATTCTTAAAATTAAGTTTCAATAAACTCTTTATTTGTGATTTATAATAATTGAATTTAATAAGTTACAAATTTTAATAACAATTATATTTGATTTTATTGGACATTGATAAATATATTAATTAAAATAAGGAAAAATAATAAATATTTTTTGAAAAAAGGTAAAATAAGGAGTTTGTTTGAATGTATTAAAAACTATGCTCTTTAAATTTATACATTTTTTTTTTGTTATAGACAATACGTTCTTTAAATTTAAAGAGTTTTTTGAAGATGCTCTTAATAACACGAATTAAAAAATGAAACCAAGATAAAGAATATATGTGTTGCCCATTTCCTCATACCGAAGCCAAACGCTACATTACAAATTATAAATTACAACAATGATATCCTACCATTCACAGTAAAATGCATCAAAGTCACTTCTAGCATAAAAATATTGAACTCAATATCTCACTTAGTAAATGTCGACATTTACTCAGAAGTCCAACTAGAACCATGCAAGCAGGGACGAATGTGGGAGGACTGGGCCGGGCTGTAGCCCGGTCCAGCCCCAGCCCACTGAATTTTTTTATGTAAAAAAAAAAAAATTTATGTATCTGTATTAGTTCAACTTGTCCCAGCCCACTGAATTTTTTTATGTAAAAAAAAAAAAAATTTATGTATCTGTATTAGTTCAACTTGTAATCATGCAAGATTGTCATATTTATTGAAATTCCTGAAGATGGTCGCACCACCCGAATTTCTCATTTTCATAACCGTATTCACAAGGGATAGAAAGAATTGAATTAAAAAATAAAGAAAAATGCTACTCTACCAGACTTTGGTTCACAG